ACCTAAACCAGTGTTCCATAAAGTGTGGTCCATGGATTAGTGTTCGTTCACAAACTGTTATTAACTGTCGTAAGAATGGAAATTTGGCATTTAAAAACGTTTTAATTTTATTTTTAGAGATAGCGAGCATGCATGTGGAGAAGGGCAGAGGGAGGGAGGGAAAGAGAGAGAAAGAGAGAATCCATGCTGAGCCTGGAGCCTTCCTCAGGGCTCGATCCCATGACCCTAGGATCATGACCTGAGTCAAAATCAAGAGTCAGTAGGTCAACTGACGGAGTCACCCAGGTGCCCCAAGCATTTAAGAACCTTAATAGCAATTTGACATTGGCACAACATCTAAGCATGTGATCATTTTTCTAGTTAAGTTATTTTTATTGCATTTTACAAAGTATAGGTTTTGACAGGTTGGAGGTTGGAGTGAGGCAGTTCCCACAGGTATTTTACAAAGCACAACTCTAGATCCCCTTTTTTTTTCATTCAGAAATTGAGCTTCTTGTTTCCATGTGGCCACAGTAGAGCCTGAGGAAAAGGACATGAAGATCTGTAAACTATTACTTTGTGATGACTGATGAATGAAGGTGCAGATTATTTGAGATTAATTGTGTCTTTACTTGGAATTCCCTTTAACCATTTTCCTGATTCACTCTAACCTGGGATGCCTGTTAACAATGCAGATGCCTTTGCAGGATCCCTAAAAGTTTTGATTTTACCAGTCTGAGGCCCAAGAATCTACATGTTAAACAAACACCTCATCTAATTCTGATGAATATTGTTCCTGGATAGGTCATTTAAATTAGGATGCTTGAGAGTAAAAGAGGATGCTATTAAATCACATTAAGACCAGATAAATAATCTGGAAATATCCTAATAGGCACACTTGGACTAATGGTCACTGCACCTGGGGCATATCTCTTAAATAGAATTTTGGGGGCACCTGGGTGCTTCAGTCAGTTAAGCCTCCAACTTTGGCTTAGGTCATAATCTCACTGTTTGTGAGTTCAAGTCCTACATCGGGCTCTGTGCTGACAGCTTAGAGCCTGCAGCCTGCTTTAGATTCTGTGTCTCCCTCTCTCTCTGCCCCTCCCCCGTTCACACTCACTCTGTCAAAAATAAACAAACATTAAAAAGCTAAAAATAGAGTTTTAAAATTTCACTTGAGAGCTTATTTTTAAGTTGATTTACTTTAAGAGAGTGAGCGAGCATGAGTAGAGGAGGGGCAGAGGGAGAGGGAGAATTCCAAGCAGATTCCACACTGTGGAGCCCAACTCAATCTCATGAACCATGAGATCGTGACCTGCGGTGAAATCAGGAGTCAGATACTTAACTGAGCCAGCCAGGCACCCTTAAAAATAGAGTTTTAAAATTTAATTGGAAAGTTCCTGCTATTTGCTATCATGACCAAACTTAGCTAGATTTTCTTTAGTCTTCTCAGGATGGTGGCTGTTCCCACTCTTCTGTGAGTCAACCTCAACTGAATTGTGTGTACAACTATCTAATAAAGGAATTGGAAGTTGGAATTCAGGGCTTCTAAACATAGCTAGATGTAACTTGAGGTGGGGCAGGACCACTCCTTTAAAGTGGAAAATTCTTTTGTTCTGATTTGAAGGAAATTGAATTTATTTGCCCTTACCTAAAAACTTAGGATTCTTCTGGAACTTTCTGTTATGTATATAGTCTCAAGCCAATCTTAATTCCTTAGTGTTCCTTGATCAGCTGTGTCCCATTTCTCTTAGCTGGGCATAATCCCCTTGATCCATTTCAACCTTGCTTTCGCTTTCATTTAACTAGGTGACTTGTTTACTTGTTTTAAGTAAATTGCAACTAGAGACTTTGAAAGAAAGAAAAAATATCTTAATATATCTTTCTAAATTTTTTTCTCAGGAGTTCTTTAGGTTGCTGGCACCTGTTACGTAACTTATATGCTACAGAAGAAAAATAGTTTCCTATTTTGTAAACTGTTACCTGTTTACAACAGTATTGGAGGAAAATTATTTTTACTAGTGGTTATAGTACTACTGGTAGAAGTCAAGTAATATTTTGTGAATCTCTTGTCTCTGGTACTATCTCTGTAATAATACCTTTTTCATCAAATCTAACATATTTGACTTTATATTATTTCATTTTCTTTTTAGCTTGTTAACCAATCTCTTTTATTTACAAAGTGGGGATTAAAAACAAGAAGGCTTTTTATGGGATTCATTTCAAAATGGAGAAGGGCAGATTGGCTAGCTAGAAATTGAGAGTAAGAGTTTGAAAACCAAAAAAGAGGCAAATTAGGTATGAAAAGGGAAATGATTAAATGTGGAATCTTCTATTTCTTTATTTTTCTGGATCAATATTTCATAGGACTGGGGGTTCTCTGAAGTCACATACAATTAAGTATATCTCTTTAAAAATTTTTTTTAATGTTTATTTATTTTAGAGAGAGAGAGACAGAGAGACAGAGCTCGAGCGGGGGAGGGAAAGAGAAAGGGGGAGACACAGAATCTGAAGCAGGCTTCAGGCTTTGAGTTGTCAGTACAGAGTCCAACGAGGGGCTTGAAGCCACGAGCTGTGAGATCATGATCTGAGCTAAAGTCAGACGCCTAACCCACTGAGCCACCCAGGCGCCCCTTAAGTATATCTCTTTATTGAACCTCATGTAAATTTCTCTAAAGAAAGTTTCTCTAACACTTATACTCTTAGGGGTGGCTAGATGGCTGTCGGTTGTGTCTGACTTTTGATTTAGGCTCAGGTCATCACCCCACGGTTCATGGGATCAAGCTCTGAATTGGGCTCTGTGCTGACCATGGATTTTGCCTCTCCCTTTCTCTTTGCGCCCCCGCTGCTCATGCCTGCGTGCATATAGGCACTCTCTTTCGCTTTCTCTCAAAAGAAATTAATTAATTAAAAAAAATAAAGACATACTCTGAGTTTTGGCAACTTTCACACCTTTTTAATAATAAGTATTTCTAACTTATTACAGCAGTAGAGTAAATAGCATTATGAACTTACAGGTGAACATCACCCAGCCTCAACAATTATTAACTCACTACAAGTCTTTTTGTTCATCTGTACCACTGCTTATTCCCTGTCCTCCCAGTATTTTGAAGCAAATTCCAAATAACATATAATTTCATCTGAAAATATTTCTGTAAGAATCTCTAAACTATAAAGGATTTTTGTTGTTGTTAAACAACCATATTGCCATTACATTTTAGTGAAAATTTAAGTAAATTTGATTAGGACTTACCTTTCACTCTGTCTTAGAGACTCATCAGATAAATAAATAAAACATTCATCATAGTATCTAATTTTTGTTTGTTTTAGTAGATTATTTTCCTAAAATAATGTATTGCTATTACATCTGAATAACACAAATTAAACTGATTTATCCTTCAAATTGTAATACTTGCGAGAGTGAAAGGGGGCGCTGTTAACAAGTATGCTAGGACAGCAGTGGAAATCTAGGACTGTCCTGGGTAAACTGGGATATATGTGGTCCTCACTTTCAAAGTAATATTTGCTGGTTGGTTAGCTACATTTTATTTTATTTTATTTTATTTCTAGGAGAGAGAGAGATAGTGTGAGCAGGGGAGGGTCAGAGAGAGAGGGAGTCACAGACTGAAACAGGCTCCAGGCTCTGAGCTGGCAGTCAGCACAGAGCCCGACGCGGGGCTCGAACCCACGAACCGTGAGATCATGACCTAAGCGAAAGTCGGACGCTTAACCGACTAAGCCACCCAGGCGCCCCGCTACATTTTTAAAAATAAGCTTTGACTAGTCACCTAAGTGAGTCAGATTGTAGCTAAGAACATATAAATATTACCATAGAATTTTCAAGTCTAGAATTTTTATAGTGCCTGTAGATTTCAACTTTTTTAAAAAGTTTTTTATTATTTAAGTAATCTCAATGTGGTGCTCAAACTCACAACACTAAAATGAAGAGTTGTATGCTTCTGTGACTGAGCCACCCAGACGCTTCTCAATTTAGTTCTTTTTTTTAAGAGATTTTATTTAAAAATTAAAAAAAATTTTTTTTTTAATGTTTTATTTGTTTCTGAGAGAGAGAGACCCACAGTGTGAGCAGGGGGGAGTCAGAGAGAGAGGGAGACACAGAATCTGAAGCAGGCTCCAGGCTCTGAGCTAGCTGTCAGCACAGAGCCTGATGCGGGGCTCGAACCCACGAACCATGAGATCATGACCTGAGCCGAAGTCGGACGCTTAACCGACTAAGCCACCCAGGCGCCCCCTAGAACACATTTTAAAGTAGGTAAATGAGATGATGGTCAATTTTAAAATGTCAAATTACTTTTTCTGTTAAAGTTGGTAATTCACCATGATATTAGATTAGCTTTATACCCAGCATCAACTGAAGTTAGTTTTTAGCATTTCCAGATTAGAAAACTTAACTAGATCTTCTTTATCTGTTCTTCTCAAGTTTATGCTGTGTTACTATAGCAAGTAATTCTCAGGAACAGCTCCATCCAGTTAGTGGTTTGCTTGTTATCAGTAATATTTTAAACAACTACCTTTTAATAATAATGTATACATCTATGATTGCCCCAATCAGAAGGTGAAATCAGACATTTAAAACACGGTTCCATGAGGTCAGTTCTTTGGAAAAATAAATGCCCTTTAGTGTTGTAATTTCTTTCCTTTCATTTTCTTTAACCACAGTTTTATTTTTAATACATTTTCTGTGAATAAAAGATACTCATATCATCTAGTCCTTTATCTTTTAGTTTATTTTCGGAATCAGCTTCAAGTCTTTGATGTTTATATGTAAAACATTATAATTCATACATCCACACACTGACTTTGACTTTGTGGCCTTTTTAAAAATTTGAATTGATCATCTGTAACATACAGTATCTTAGATTTTTTTTCTCCCAGATGGTTCTGGTGCTGTGGATGTGAAATCATGGTGATGTGTTAGGTTTACTTTGTTACATAAAAAAAATGGGTATATAGTTCTTTATACATTTAATAAATTTTGAATTACTTTTTCTCTTTTTTAGCTGTCCCCTTTCCTCCAACCCAGCGGCTTACTTTGAAAGAAGTATTTGAGAATGGGAAACCTAAAATTGATGTTTTAAAAAACCATTTGGTGAAGGAAGGGCGACTGGAAGAGGAAGTAGCCTTAAAGATAATCAATGATGGGGCTGCCATCCTGAGACAGGAGAAGACCATGATAGAACTAGATTCTCCAATCACAGGTATGAGAAGTATTTGGGTGGCATTTAGATTTGAGCTTATTTGAAAAATGATTACAAATAACCAACTAAAATGTGTGATAATCTTTCTAGGAATTATGAGGTAGTCTTAGGATTGTTTGTTGTTCATTGAAGAAATACAACTTAAAATATCTAATACCTCCTGTAGGACTATTGATAATATTGATAGATTGACTACAATTATAAAACAGTCCAGTCAAAATCTAACGTGATTTAAATTAAAAGTTAAACTGTGATCTTATTGATGTACTGCTCCTTTCTCTTCTAAGACATCATTTTTCACCTCACCATATGCCCTTTTTTTCCTAGTGTGTGGTGACATTCATGGACAATTCTTCGACTTGATGAAGTTGTTTGAAGTTGGAGGATCACCTACTAACACTCGCTACCTCTTTCTGGGTGACTATGTGGACAGAGGCTATTTCAGCATAGAGGTAAAAATTAAACTGTTGGAACTATCATTGTCTTTTTTTAGAACTTTTCTTTCTATTTTTTGGTAGAAGAAATTAAAATGAGAACGCTGAATGAGTTCTCACTGAAATGAGAAATTATAAATGAGAATTTACAAACCTTGTGACTTCCAGTAATTAAGGTGCTAGAAAAATATTTTCATTGCTATAAGAATGTTCTGTTCCTTCTTGTAGCTTCTATATGTGATAGACATATAGAAGGGGCTATATTAAACCCAGCCTTGCAGGTAAGTTAAATTTTTGCCAATCTTTCCTCTTTGAAGATAGTATATAGGCTGTATATAAAAGGCATAAATCGCTATTCACCCTAAACAGGGTTTGAATTAGCAGACACTAATTCTAAAACAACAATCTGGTGGGCTATAATTTACCCTTAGATAAACTTCCAATGCTAAGCCAGCAGGCACTTAGTTTACTGTAGGAATAATTTTTGATACTGTTGTGAATAGTAAGCACTTAATAAATGTTAATTCATTGAAGGAAAGAATGATTAAAATTAATGAAAACTCAAAATTTACCTTACATGTATTTTGAAAACTGAATGATGAGAAAAATGATTGAAATCAAAGTATAAGCTGTTCTGTATAAAAGATAAAATTATTTTAGAGCATAATGCAAAGACTGGAGTACAGTGGACCATATTCATATTTAATGTCAATTGATTTAGCTGTACATGATTGGCAAATAAAAGGAAAGTAATTTTTGAAATAGTGCAGGTAATTGAATTTATAATGTGCCCAGAATAAGCAGATGAGAAATTGAGATGCGCTTGCTGTTCTTGTAGCCTGTAGTCCTGCTTCTCCCTCACAGTGTGACGATCTCAGTGTACTTAGTGTATTTCTAGTAGTTAAAGTTTTATTTGTGCAGCATCACTTCTAAATCCAAATCAACTATCTGACCTAGTGCTCAAAGAGGCAATGGTTATTCTAAAGCTGGCAGAAACTCTTTAGTTAAACATGTGGTGTCTAAACTCATGAATCAGAGAAATTCAGAGTTATATGCCAGTGCCTCACTTTAATTTAGTGTCATCTATGAGGACAAAGGTTAATGGTAAAAGCTAAGAAAATAATCTTGTTTCCCTACTGTTCAGTAAATTACCAAGTTCTCCATGTAGGTACCTGGGATGAGTGGAGATGATACTTGTAGACTGTATCATTGAAATGCTTCACTATTCCAAGTAACCTAAGTGTCCATTGATAGGGGCACCTGGGTGGCTCAGTTAGTTAAGCGTCTGATGTCAGCTCAGATCATGATCTCACAGTTCGTGAGTTTGAGGCCTGAGTCAGGCTCTGTGCTGGTGGCTTGGAGCCTGGAGCCTGCTTCGGATTCTGTATCTCCCTTTCTTTCTGACTCTTCACTGCTCATGCTCTGTCTCTCTCTCTCTCAAAAGTAAATAAACATTAAAAATTTTTTCATTAAAAAGGTGCCCATCTATAGGTGAATAAAAAAGATGTAGTAAATATATATAATGGATAAAATACAGTAGAATGTTACTCAGACATAAAACAGAATGAAATGTTGCCATTTGCAACAACATGGATGGACCTATAGGGTATTATGCTAAGAGAAATAAGTCCAAGAAAGACAGATACTTTTGATTTCACTCAAGCGTGGAACCTACAAAACAAAATAAATAAACAAACAAAACAGAAGCAGATGTATTAACAAGAGAACAAACTGGTGGTTGCCAGGGGGAGGGGGTGTAGGGAGCCAGGCAATATAGGTAGAGGGGATTAAGAAGTACAGACCTCCATTATTAAATAAACAAGTCACAGGGATGAAATGTACATCACAGGGAATATAGTCGAAATACTGTAATAACTTCATATGGTGACAGGTGATAACTATTCTTATTGTGGTGAGCATTGCATAATATACAGGATTGTTGAATCACTATGTTGTACCCAAAAACTGATATTATATGTCAACTATAGTTCAATAAATAAATAAAACAAAATAAAAAGGGAAGCAAGCATAGTCTAAAAAAGAAAAGCTTTCTAATTCCTATTCACATCATGTTTCAAGAGACAGTCAAAAGTATGGATGTCTAAAAGACACATTGAATGTTTACTTCTTTGAGTATTTTTAAAAAATTTTTTTCTTAAATAGTTTATTGTCAAGTTGGTTTTCATATAACAATCAGTGCTCATCCCAGTAAGAGTCATCCCCCATGCTCATCACCCTCCTTCCCCTGTCCCTACTTCTTTGGGTATTGATTAGCATGAAGAGGTTTTATCTATCTATCTATCTATCTATCTATCTATTTATTTATTTATTTTTGAGAGAGAGAGACATAGAGATAGAGAGAGCCAAGTGAGTGAGGGGCAGAGAGAATTCCACAAGTTGCAGAGAGAGAGAGTACAGAGCCTGGAGCCGGGCTTGAGCTTACCCAGAGCGGGACTGGAACTCATGAACATGCGATCATGATCTGAGCCAAAGTTGGATGCGTAACTGATGTAGCCACCAGGCACCCCAGCATGAAGAGGTTTTAGCGGCTGAAAAGAAGAATACAGAACTTACTGTATTTTTTTTAGTTTTTTTATTTATTATTGAGAAACAGAGACAGAGCATGAGCATGGGAGGGGCAGAGAGAAGGGGAGACACAGAATCTGAAGAAGGATCTAGGCTCTGAGCTGTTAGCACAGAGCCCGACATATGGCTCAAACTCACAAACCCACGAGATCATAACCTGAGCTGAAGTTGGACCCTTAACTGACTGAGCCACCCAGGCACCCCAGAACTTACTGAATTTTTAATTAGTCATTATATTTAATGAAACACCTTCTTAAAAAGATAATATTATGCCAAATCATCTTCAGGTTGTTAGCTGACATATTTAAAAATAGTTTCAATGTATCAATATATTCAGTAAAGCATACACTGAAAAAATCCATAATGATTTTTGTACACATATATTATGTTCAGAATTTTTTTTCAGAATATTTTTTGTTATGTATTTTTTCCTCATTTATCAACAAATGTTTCCTGATTGCCAACTTTATGGCATGCTCTGAGGATAAAATAATGAATAAGATTTATACTCTCTATTTTTGTTTGTTTGTTTTTAAGATTAATGCTTTCTATAGGAGCTGACACTCTGTTAGAAAAGATGCACTTGTAAATACATTTTTTAATGTAGTATAAAAGTACTTATTTAATTTTCTGCAGTATTCTTCATATTAGGACCTACCATTCTGGCATAGTAACTGACACATGGTTGGCACTCAATCAGTATTTGTTGAATGAATGAATGTTAATAAATCATAGTTTGTATTTGGATTTATCCTATTATTTGATGTTTGACCAACTTAAAGGATTTTTCTGGAATAGCTTAAGAGGTAAATGGATCAAAAATTTAAAGTGACAATGCTGTTGCCAGTTTTAAAACTAAACTTCAGGGGTGCCTGGGTGGTTTAGTTGGTTAAGTGTCCGACTTCTGCTCAGGTCATGATCTCATGGTTCATGGGTTCGAGCCCCACATCGGGCTCTGTGCTGACAGCTAGCTCAGAGCCTGGAGCCTGCTTCAGATTCTGTGTCTGCCTCTCTCTCTGACCCTCCCCTGCTGTCTCTCTCTCTCTCTCTCTCTCTCAGAAATAAATAAAACATTAAAAAAAACAACAACAACTAAACTTCAGGGTGTAGGTAGTGTTAGTTGGAAGTCGCTTACTTTTAAACCACTAAGGTTATAAACTTCTGTAGGCTACAGCTTAGTCCAGCTGTATACTTGAACACAATTTTTTTATCAGTGTCCTTGATAAACATGAGTATGATGTTTTTGTCAAATGGATGAAAATCAGGTAATGGAGTCCTTCTTACATTTTTTGTTGCTGTAAATAGTTCATTTTTGTAGAAAAATTGGGAAATGTAGACTAAGAAAATTGTTTTATAGTCTTATAAGACTATAAGACTTTATAAGACTATAAAACAATTTATATCTATAAATCAAATATAATCGCTGTTAGCATCTTATATTTTTTTCTATAAGATTTATTATTATTATTTTTAAGTAATCTCTACAACTTGGGGCTCTAACTCACAACCTCTGGACCAAGAGTTGCATGCTCCACTGACTCAGGCAGCCAGGCGCCCCAACATCTTGTGTTTCCTTGCAGTCCTTTTTCTTCTTTTACATTTGTATTTATCCTTTTTTAAAGAAAATTGAAATCATTTTGTACATTTCCTGTTGTAGTCTTTTTCCCACTCAGCGTTGTATTGAAAACACTTTCCTCTGTGGTTAATGGTAAAAATACCACAGTTTACTTCACTGTTCTTTATTTTTGGATAATGTGGTTTGTAGATACTGTTTGCTGCCTATCTTTTCTCTCCTTCTTCCTTACTATCAAAATTCTATTTTGTTCAGATAAGTGAGATTGGGGGTTCAGAAAAAACCTTTGAATTCAGGAAGGGGAAGCCCTTAACCCAGCCCCAAGAAATGAATTGAGTGGTCTGAGCTAGTCATACACATCCACTCCTTGTCACCGTTGATTGGTTTAGGGATAAACATGGGATTCTGTTTTGCCCAGTAATATATAAAGGGAACTCTGCTGGGTGTTTTTGGTGTGTGTGTGTGTGTGTGTGTGTGTGCGCGTGCACACGCGTGCAAACACATACTTTGAAACCCTTCGTTTCCAAATGAAAAGACTCCTGCAAGGTGAAAGCTTCTGGACTCCTGTTTAACTGTGTCATTTCAAATGTGGGTGTGTATATTGTAGCAGCCATTTTGTGATCATGAGGAGGTGCTAAGGATGAAAAGCAGGCCCGTAAATTACAGATCATAGAGGGAAAGAGGACATGGTTTCTTGCTGACAACACTAAGCTGGTACACTAAATATGGACATCTGGCCTCCAGAGGTTTGTTTTTTTTTTTTGTAGTTTTATGGTTTTATTAACACAAATATGATGTGCACGTAAGCTGTTTGTCTATTCATTTTCTTCTCTGCGCAGCTGGCATTGGGATTCAGGAC